GTCGCCACCCTTTTTCGAACTAAATCAAATTTGAAGGTAGACCCGTCTTTGAGACCTCTAAAAAAGTCAGTATAAGCTACCTCATCCGGTAACCCTTGAATCTGTATTCTCATCAGGTTGAACCGCCTGATGTAGGAACGAAGCCCCTCCTTTTCACCCTACTGAATTGTTCCCAAATCAAGGGTCGTTTTCTTCGCAGGGATGTTCATTGCGAAGTTGGAGGCAAATAAGTAAGCAAGCGTCCTGAAGCTGTTTACACAACCAGTCGGCAGGTTGCCGAACCATTGCTGTGCAATTCCCTTGAGAGTCGCTGGGAAACACTTGCACCAAGTGGGATCATCCAACCCTTGAAGGTACATCAGGTTGGTGAATGCCATCAGATGGTCTTCCGGGTTAGTAGTGCCATCATAGGCGCCTACTAAAACATTTTTTACTTTGGCCGGCTGAGCGGCTTCAGTAATTTCCTTGGAGAAGGCCGACGGCTGTTCACCAAGTCTAAGCAGCCGTAGCTGCCAGTCCATAGGTTGGACGTTTTTTGCTGCAGGTCCACCAAATGGAGGTGGCTGCATAAAATACTGTTGTTGCGGCACAAATGGTAAGTTTGGTACCGCCTGGGCACTATGAAAGTCGGACTGACGGGAGGTGCCGCCTGACTGACTCTCATGGTACGACTGAGTTGGCCTCATCGAGGCGTTTCGCAAACTGTCCTGAAAATTTGAAGTAGAAGCCGACTCTGATAATCGGTCACTCTTCTTCTGCTCTAGCAGGTGCCGAGCATCTGTGAACGTTTGCTTTGACCCGTCCGCCTGAATATGACGAACCGGTTTCCTATTTCCCGTAGGGTAACGGAATTTTGTGAAATCAAGAGCAGACGGTTCCCGCTTCTTGGATTTAGGATGGGGAGTCGCCTCTCGCCCTTGAACTGGCTTCCTCCTCAGTGAAGTGGAAGGTTTCTTGGCCGACTGCTCTTTGACTGAAGCAGGCGGTTTTTTTGTTGATCAACTCTTGGATCTCTCCCTTGAAGTCCCTCATGAAGGTCATGAGTTCGTTCCTTGTGATGGGAGCAGACCCATCAGTCGGCTGTTGCCGAGCAAGCGGTGCGCCTGCTGGCTCGCTTCCTGTTTGAAGATACTCCCGTTCCCTTATTTCAGTATGACGGGTACGGCGGGCCCTTAGGGTCCCGTCTGGAGCTGTATGAGTTTCAACTTCAAATTCACTTTCGGTATCATGGTCCGACTGAACTTGAGGGTCGTCTAGGGGACGCCTCTCTTCTGGAGTCGGTACAGACTTGGATGCCATCTCTGAAGTACTCTCCCCACAGACGGCGCCAAATGTTTCGGGGTTTTCTGATGTCCTGCGGGAGAGTTACAATTCCGAGACTGGAACCGGACGTCTGTACCTGCAAAATAACGGAGACTCCTGAGAGCTCCGCCTCCAACGGTCAAGTTAGTACCTGATTAAGGAGTAATCAATACAGAAAGTAAAGTAATGAGATCTCTCTAGGTGAGAGTGCTTAGTGTTGGTAATCTGCGTCGTTAGCGAGATTAGCCGGTTGTTAATAAGTCTGTTCTTCTCTGCTTGATCTCTTAATTATTCGGTTGTTTTTTTGTTCCCTGATTAATGAGGATTAATCGAGTATTTATAGCCTTGGGAAGCGTGCAACTCTCTAGGCTTAAGGTAAACCTAGGGCTGATCGGGCCTCTAGACTGAAATGGGCCTTGATGGCCGGTTGTCCCACTTGGCATGGGTGGACACGTGGCGTGTCTTAAGTGGTCCGTGGAGGACGTATCTGTGACTGACACGTGGCAAGCTCCTGTTGGCCTTCGTGAAGGACACGTGGCGGAACCTGGTTGGTCCACTTGTCAGACGGTGATTGGTGGATAAAAATCCCCTAATCACGTTGTATTAGGTCTAATACAACGGTTTTTAACACCTAATACAACGAAAAAATCCGTTGTATTAGGTCTAAAATGTAGTAGTGCACGTACAGTACAAGTGCCATGTTAGCAAATCAATTCTTTCTACTTCCTCCGTTGTTTTAGATGCATGACTTCTGAACTCACGTACTCATGGGCAATTTTTTTTACTAGAGAGAGATAGAGAAAAAAAAAAAAAAAAAAGTCTATGTGATATGACAGCGATACAGAATTTATTAATTAAAAAGGAAAGTGATGATGCATCTAAATTAAAACTACCATTTATAAAAATTGATGCATCTAAAAAAAAATAGGAAGTATGTATAGTATTGTCAAAGTAGAATTTGTGAATATTGTCAAAAGTTAAAATGTGTCACTTAAACTAAAAAATGAAGCTATGTTCTTTTGGTACAACACGTTCTTTTAATTTTTGAATAAAAAATGAACATGTGTTTTAGGTGTGAATTACATGTTCTTTGAGTTTGGACGTGAAGATTAGGAATATTCTTTGTTTCTTTTGCTCTTTATGTTCATTCATTTTAACTCTTATGCTCTTTTAAGGTTTATGTTCATTTGTTCTAGTCATTATGATCTTTGAATTTAGCCTTTACGTTCATCAGTTATATAATTTAATGAGCAAGAGGAAATAATTAATCAAATTAGATTGATGATTACAGTAAGATGTCACAAGGAAGATGGAACATGGTTTAAGTAATTGGAAACGATTTGCTTTGTGCAATTTATATTATTATTAAAACTCATGTCAATACATGTCATGCATGCTACCATGTGTTAATGGCAATGCGTGTTATGTTGTCATGTGTCACCTTTTCTTAACCGATGACATGGCGTCAAGCCGCCAAGTCATATCTATAGTCCATACACTAGTAGAAAAAATGAAAAAGGCACCCCCCTTTTCGCACCGGTTCGTAAAAACCGGTGGGAAAAAAAATGGGCGGGATTTGGATAATTACTTTTCGCACCGGTTCCTTATAAACCGGTGCCAAATCTTGGTTTTCACACCGGTTTGAACCGATGCTAAATGTTTTTATTAAAAAAAAAAGGGAAAGAGGGATTTTGCACCGGTTCAGCCCAAACCGGTGGGAAAAATTCATTTACAGCCGGTTCAAACGGGTGCTGTAAATTAAACAAAAAAAACCACTTAATCGTGAAATTCGATCTTCTTCTTCCTTCAATTCAGTTTTCATTCCCCTTCTAGGTTTTCCACATTCAATTCGCACCCCCCTCTTTGTCGCCTACCTTCCCCATAGATGTACGTCCTCCATCGAAGCACATTCTGGGCTTTCTCACCTCCATTGCCGCAACTCATCTCTTTCTCTCCATAGCTCTCCTCCATTGAAGCGCATTCTGAGCTTTCCAACTCCATTGTAGCAGCTTAGAGGTAAGATTTATTTCGTGGTCTTCCTAATCTATTGAATTCCTTCGCAATCTAGGGTTAGTCGTTGATTTAGGGTTTTCTGTTCTTTGTGGTTTGCTGTTGTGACTTTAATTTCGAGTTGTGCATTCAACAATAGTAAATTGTTTTAGGGTTTTGATTGTTGTTGTTGTTTATGAACTTGATGGTTCTCGTTTGGGCATTTGTTTATGAACTTGATGGTTCTCCATTGCTGGGTTCCTCAGCTTTCTGCTTTAGCGCTCAGCATATCTAACGCATGTACTTAGCTGGAGAAACAGATTCTATGTTGCTGTAAATTGGGCAACCACTCTAGTTTTTGGCAGGGATATTTCAAAGATAAAAAACCGAAGATATTAGCTTCAAATATTGTTGTTGTTGTCCCTATTGCATTGAGGTCCTTTTACTTGTAGTTTGTGCTAAAACTTTGGACGTTATTTGATTTGTTGTAATCAAATTTTGCGAAACTGAATACTTCTATATATGATACTCATATTATGATAGAATTACAGTATTAATCAAACAGATCAAGGTCTTTTGAACTAATTAAGTGCGAAATACAAAAACTGATTAGTACTCCGATTTATGTAGTTTCTCAATCTTATTTTGTTTACTCCGATTGTTATTTTGTTATGGAGTATTGCAGTAGTAATCTATGTTGTGTATCTTGCATTTGTAGTCATAAATTTTCTGATGTATATATGATTGTTGAGGTTTAGAGATTGGACACCTTTCACCTAGTGTATCTTATGATTTTGCTGCCATAAGGTGACAGTATATGGCATCTAAATGAGAATGTGCTGATCTTGGTAAAATTGCAAGAAATGAGATGCAATTGTGCAAAGCTGTTGTGGTGTAATATTGGATAAAATTGCAATTGTGTAAGCTATTGTGGTGTAATGAGCTTCTTGATTTATGTTGGTCATTACTCGTATAATATTGGATAAAATTGCAAGAAATGAGATGCAATTGTGCAAAGCTATTGTGGTGTAACACGTGGCATAGGCTGGCAGCATCTCATTTAGATTTAAAATAAAGCATAAGAAATTGACCATATAGAGGTTTCCCATGCTTTACTGTGGTAGACTCAGGATACATGCCATCTTAAATAAATGATATTGTGATATTGTCTGCTCAGTGGATCTAATTTACATGTAATTTTCTCCTTGCAGTTGATATTATATCAACTATTGAATTTGACAAGACTAGGGACCACCTTGCTACTGGAGATCGTGGGGGCTAGGTTGTTTTGTTTGAGAGAACCGACAGAAAGGGTGTAACTGCAATCATGCTTGTTTGATTCACAAAGTAACTTTATTTGATTCTAATATAATTACATGTTGAGGCCTATAACCTATATATTATGTGATCATATGATATGTAGCCTGGTGGACCTAGAAGAGATCTTGTTAGTAGGCATCCTGAGTTTCGCTATCAGACTGAGTTTTAGAGCCATGAACCAGAGCTAGGTATCTTCATTGAATCGGCTGTCATAGTTGATGTTTGTTTCTCTTCCTTTTTTTCCTTAATTTTGCAGGAAAAGCTCACATATTTACCTTTTGGTTTCAGTTTGAGTACCTAAAGAGTTTAGAGATTGAGGAGAAAATTAATAAGATCAGATGGTGTGAGATGGCTAATGGCGCACTATTTCTTCTTTCCACTAATGACAAAACCATCAAATTCTGGAAGGTGAGGAAACTCTTGCTTGCTATATGTCTTTGCAGTTTATTATAGGATTTGTCTATCACCAGATAACTATCGAATTTAGGCACTTTCTGTGGATGAAGATATTAGCTGTATTACTCTTCTTGTCTGACTTTTTTTATCTCCCATATGGTAGTTTTGGATAGGTATAATTTTTTGTCTCGTGTCCATGTGAAGTTTACCTGATGTAAGAATCATTATGATGTTGAAAAAAGTGTAGAAATCTGAGATTATATGTGGTTATTGACTTACTGTGGGGTAACTTATCAGAGAATGAAATCATGGATTTTGTAGCAAAACAGGTGATCTGAAAGGCCAGAGAGCATGAAACAGTATGTGTGCCTGAGTCAGCTTGTTCACACTTATAAAGATGTATCAGCTTGTTCTGTTGGCTCTATGATCCAAGAATTTGAATTGCAGCAAATGTTTAGTACGTGTGCCCAAGTCCAACCCGTGAGGTCTGTAGCTATCTTCACTCATATATAACACCACACATCACAAAGTACATGTAAACACATTCTTTACTTGAACCAACAAGGCAGACAGAGACTGTAAAAGCTGGGGTGATTACTTTTGTCAACTCAAGGGATTGCTTCTTGACACCTGTGCGCTTTATTTCTCTTTTCTATTTCTAGGACTAGGATGCACCGCAAGAATGGCCAATTTGCATCTTTGAGAGAAGGTTCGGCATCTTTCAATTTGGAAGCTAAAAAGAACATAGTGGTTGGTAGAAGCCTGGGACTAGAAACTGTGTGAGTCCTTGTTAATTTAATCCCCGCTCCTCCCATATGCACAATGTGCTGAAGGATAGTAATTAATTTATCTCCGAATTTCTGCTTGTTCCCTTTCTAATTTTCTTTATAATTTCCAGTTCAAACAAGTGTCAGCATTGTGGTATTAGTGAAAATGATACACCAGCAATGCGACGCGGACCAGCTGGTCCAAGAACCTTGTGCAATGCTTGCGGACTGATGTGGGCCAACAAGGTGTGAATTCATAATATTGTATTTAAAATGTTTTAGAGTTGAGATTCTTAAGAGAGATAAAATGTTATAATATATCAGCATATATGCATTGAGCTTTGCGTAATTAAAATAATGTGCTGTAGGATAGAGGAAACCATTTGTGTAGGATTCTGTCTGTGTAAAATGGTCTATGTAGTCTAAGTTTCTGATACTAAGGAGCGATTATGTTGCTAGAGAAGAAATTATTAGCCTAATTTGATAATTGAAACAAATTTGGTTGATAATTACTAATGAACATTTTATAGTTTGACTTATTTCCTTATACTTCTTCGATATACATTATTTAGGAAGATCTGGATTAGATGTCCACTAAAAGACTTTAATATTAATCGCTACATAATCTTAAACAAGGAAAGCTTATGACATTACTAATGAAATCTCAGACATGGTAGCTTAAGTTGATTAGTGGAGGTTCTTATATTAATTTGGCTTACCATTACGCTCAAATAGAATTATGACTGTTAATTAGAGTATAAATTTTGAGTTTAATTATCGAACTTATATGCAGAAACCTCACTCAAAATCTGAGGTGGACGGTAAAAGCAAGGGAACTAAAGGAGAAAAGGTAAAAAAATCAACTGTGCCGCTAGAAAAAGTAAGCACTGATGCAAATGAAGGGAAAAATAAGAAGAAATGGAAGCGAAAGCAGGCAAATGACCTCCGATTTGAAGCAGGGATGGAAAAGTTGGATTGTGTTTCAACAAGAAAGCAGAGGAAGAAAGAGTAAGTGTGTGTGTGTGTGTGTGTGTGTGTGTGTGTGTGTGTGTGTGTTTTAATTTTTATAATTTTTTATGTTGGTTCTTGTTTGTTTATTTGTTTTTGTACTCAAACAGAGTTGGATTGTTGTATTTGTCATTGAGAGTGGTCGAGTCAGAGAAAACAATCTAGTGTTGGACATAATAGGATTAAGTTTAATCAATTAATCCTCCCTCAAGAACAATGATTTGATTTTGAAATTGGGTCTGAAGAACTATTTAGTGCTAAGTTGAACGGATGACATTGCATTCTTGGATTCGAGTATGTTGATGGTGAGGCTGATAAGCTTTAGAAAAACAAACACAATTGTGATGACTTAAAGCTCAGAACTATAGAAGAAAATTGGATTTTCAAGTTTAAAAGATTTCTTTGATTATTTGATGATATATGTGTCAATTATTATATTGCTGAATATTTCTAAGTAATTGACATTTGTAATTTCATTGGCTGGGTCCTTGAAGTTGAAAAGAGTTGGACAAGCTGCTAATGAAATTATGTTTCTCTTCCTTTTCTTTTTCTAGACACAGTGTCCATTATCCAGCACGTAGACCTGTGCATCCACTTTTATTTTATGATACGTTAATTATAATTTGATAGCAATTTAACTCTTGTTAAGCTTGTTTAACTGCTATTTGCGAACCTTTTATTTTGCAATAGAGTCATGCATTAAGAATTGCTGTTTTGGCTTATGTATACAATTCAAGGAATTTGTTAGCTTTCTTAGATCCTTTGTGGAGTGTGGACACTTCCACGGCTTTGTGTTGGTTGACCGTTAGGTTGACTTCATTTAGAAAGAAGGCCAAGTTTAGGAAATTCTATGTTAGATTCTTCAACATGTTTGCTAAATTTCTAATTTGGACTGTCTTGTTCCTCTTGATTTTTTTCTGCAATACATCTTGTTTTGGTTGAGGGTTGGGATGAGAGTTTCATCCCTTAAAACGCTCATAAACGATTGTTTGGATGTGAATTCTGTCCCATATACAAACTGCTTTAAGATACTTGCATAGAAAGGAATTAGTCAGCTGATTTGAAAGAAATATTCTTAGGACTCTAAGCAATTGGTCTCTTATATATCTTACAGGTTATACGGACCCTACAGTGCAGTACAACTATTTGCTTATGAGAACTACAAGCTGATACTTGAATCTTTCACGGTCGTTGTAGTCAATAGTCTTTTCAATTGCTTGATATACCTTATACTTGGGTCCTTTAGAAACTTTTTCGGGGAAAGGATGAGGAACTATCAGTTTTGGGAAGGCTAGCAGCTGGTGCCTGTGCAGGCATGACATCAGCCCTTGTGAGTTAATTTAAGTTTTTGGATCTCTAAATTTTATGTACTAGTCTTTGAATGATATCCCTATTCTCTTCACTTAATGATATTCCCCTTGTCATATTATAACCCTTTGAAATATGTGTTCCTTAAATGTATCTTGTAAAGATATAAATTTATATAATCTACAATGAACTAATGAAGACATTATGCATCAAGAACTCAAATGAATTGTGGCTACTAGTTTGTTTCCTTGAAATTTGGAAATTTATATAATCGTACCAATTTTTGTGTTTCAGAGTGTAGTTCGCTTCATAACCTAACAGAAGTTTATGAACAAGCGGAGCACTTTGAGCAGATTGTATAGGCTCCATACATTGAACAGCATGAGTTTTGTGTGTTGATCTTCTAAACTGTCAATGTGATTGTTTTGTGTGTCCTTATGTTGTGTGTTGATTAATTGTAGAGTGCATGTAATATGAGAAGTACTGGGATTGAAGACACAGCTGAGTTGCTTAAGAAGCACCTAATATCAGAGTTGTCCGAAATGGATTTAGAGGAAGCTTTGATGCTTGGTCGAGCATTCAGTCATTATCTGAATTTAATGGGCATTGCTGAAACTCATCACAGGTATGAAATGCTTCTGCAAATTATCTTGCAATCCTAGTGGTCAACATAGACTAAATGCCGTGAAATTCATTATAGTTAGAGTAGATGTTCTTGTTGTCTTGATTATGTTGATAGTTTTGGTCCCTTTTGGCTATTTAAAGACATGCATCTTTTGAAAGGTTACAAGTATTTACCCTGTTTTATGATGTTGTCTAAAATTTAGTGTAAGCAGTTTCCGATAAATGATTGTTTTATAATTTATGTTATTAATTCGGTGGGCAAACTAACCTTAATGTTCTATGAACTTTTTCCTTAAATTGTCGAGGAGTGTTTATTTGTGTGCATTTACATCTTGACGAGGATATATTAATGATTGTTAAGATTTTGAAACAGATTTACCTTTCATTCACTTCAAAATCTTCCATGTTAAGATATGGGATCCAAGTCTTCGGGGTTCTGAGCTTCGGGCATCTTTGCAAGGCTATACCGGGTAACTTCTACATCTTATATTTATTTCTTGTTTTCTTTTTAGGACAAATAATGAAGGATTGTAGCGTTAAAAGGAGTACTAGTTGGTGATTGACACTCATTTAAAAGGAAGTGTAGAGATATATTTGTCATGCCTTATAGTGCTAAATGTTAGATTGTCTGAAAATCAGTTGTTTGTGTCAAGTCAAATCGGGTATGCTCAGTAGTCAGTTTCAATTTGTTTTGGATAGGGACCATTTGGGTCGCACTTAGTTCAGCTCTATAGTATTTGAGTAGGCTTGTGCTCCATATTCTTGGTTCCCTCAGAACTTTTATCTCCTAGCATATTTATGGTATCATCTTACGGATGAAGCTTTGAAACAATACATGTAATTACACTACAAAAAAAAATGAGAATAGGCAACACACAAAATTGCAACAAAATAACAAATGTTGTCTTTTGTAGGAAAAGGCAACAACACTTGGTTGTTACCTTCATCATAACAATCTATAGTACATTACAATGCAACGGTTTTAGAAGTGTTGCTTTAGAGTATGTTAGACAACAGTATTATAAAATGTAGCCTTTAAGACAACAACAATCAAATTGTTGTCTATAAAAAAATATAAAAAGTTGATATTATAAAAACATTATATTAATAACTATTTATCATATTTTATTATAAAAAAATTTTTTTGATGCATTACTTTTGTTAAAAGAAACAGCTATTGAACAAAGTTCGTATTTGAATTTTGTTAAACAAAAAATCAAACGTGTCAATGAATTTAGGTTTAAAGGGGCATTGAGTTGTTATATTAAGTCATTCATGGGTGATTGTGTCGTTATCATTTTTCATTCTTATCATTATGTATCAATGATATGTAATGAACTATAGTTACTCTACCCTAGTATCTCTACCCTAGTGTGAGTCACAAGTTAAATTGCTTAGGGCTAAACGGGTTGTGGGTTGTAAATAGTTTGGATATAATGGGTAATAGACTAACAGGTAGAAACGGCTTGGGTCTAATGGGTTTCCGGGTTTAAATGATTTGGGTTAAACTTTTGGGTGGTTATAAACAATTAAATTTGAGTTAAAACTTGTGGCAGGTTAATTATAAGCAATTCGGGTAAAACAGGTTAATTGTAGAATGAAACGATTTAGGTTCACCAAGTTTAAATGATTTTAAGTACAATTTTAAATGGGTGAGTTACTATCAGGTTTGAACCTAAGATCATACACAGCTCTATTTGAATTTTACCTCGTATTAGTTTATCAATTTTGTCTCTAATCAATGTGCCACATTACTTTATAAATAATATAAAGTTATTTAAGCTTTTATAACTCATTGATCAAAATAATTTACAAGGAGTTGAGCATTGATTGGCCTCAGTGGACGGTCCCCTTATCTTCAAAAAATAGTTAAAAAAAACTCATATACTCATTTTTTTTTTTTAAATTGCACTATTTGGGATGGGCATAATCAGTGGCGGACCCACGTTTAGTCATAGTGGGTCCCCGGACAACCTATTGTTTTATATAAAAAAAAAAACTACGTGTCATGAAGTTTAGCTTGTAGTCCAATGATTTTTTTACACCCCACCACACACGAGATGTGGGTTCAAATCCCATTACTCACAAATTTTTTCTTTTTTTGCTTTACAACCTCACTTCCAATTTCAAGATTTAGAAATTAAAACATTGAAGTCAGAAACTCAGAACTTTTCCCCCAAATTATAAAACCCTAAGTCTCAAACTCGCCTAAATCGAAATCCCTAGACCTCAGCCGCAGCAGCCCTGTCGCCGTTCACCGGCCGGTTTTTCGTGTTGCGTCAGTCCGTGTTCTCACCATCGCCGATATAAGGTTCCTCCGTCAGGCGTGAGGCGTCAGTCCCTCTGCCCGTGGCTCGTACAGTCGTGCTTTGTGGAAATTCGATTTTTTTTTTAGGTTAGTTTTAATTATGCAATAGGTTTGCTTATGAGCTTCATCTTTTGATAAATTGATGTTTGAGTGGTAATATGCTTACTCGAATTCGTCTATTCAATGGTTGTTGTGGAATTGTTGAAGGTGATTGATTTAGCAACTAGCCAACTACAGGTCTATAGCTCTACAAGACTACAATAATGATTAGCTTTTTACAATTGGGTTGATGCATCGGGTTTTCTAATGAGATTTGTATTTTTGGTATATTGATGTTTGGGCGGTAATTTGCTCGCCCAAATTGACCTTTTTTAGGGTGGTTGTTTAATTAACTGATCTTTATACTATTTTCATGTCACTACTATTGTTGGCTAGCCATTTTACTTGTAGACCAGATGTGCCTGTGTTCTATTTTAGTCTGCTTTATTCCTAATAACAGGCTTATGCTAGCAATTTGGACAACTTTCTGTTGGAAAGTAGTAAAAGTTGCTTGTGAAAGTGGTCTTTTTAAGTTGGTCCACACTTTGCTTGTTATGACCGTCAGTTTGAGTTTAATGAGGGTGGTGGTACATTTTTAATTTGCTTAGTTCCTTGATGCAATTGGATGATGTTTGTTGTTTATCTAGACCTGTTTTCGCTATCTCTTTTTCAGGTTGGTATAGGACCATAGGCTATATTCTCCTCAAGACCGCCCTTAGTTGTTTTTTTTTTTGGGGGGGGGGGTGAAATTTCTTGATTTTATATTGTGGCAATGTGTTTCAGCTGATAAATCATTAATATGATTATGTGATAATTGATTGTTTTCTGTTGTAGTATTCTCACAAAAAGAGGAAAAAGCCCCTAATAGCAAAAATTGATTTTGTAATAAGATTCATGGTGCACTTCTCTGCTTTGGCTGTCCATTGTTTATATTTTACACAATTTTCTTCATTAATCATTTTATCACTATAATTACAACATTCCAAGAAGAAACGGAGTCATTGTCCCTTCATTTGGACTCTCAACTTCTATTCAATTGGTAAACTTGTATTCAGTTTCAAACTTTCAACATGATCTGATTTTGCAAAGAAACTTAAACTGTTTTGGGGTTGAAGGGTGGACTGAAATTGAGGTTAATGGGCATTCTTTTAATGATATTATTAGTTTTAATAACCTTGAGAGAACCCTTCTTGTATAATTTATCTAATTCAACTTTTAACTTCAATTTCAGAATGAAAAGAAAAACAACTCGAGATATTTCAATTTTTTTACTAAAAAAGGGCCTACTCTAAATCCTCCTCCACAAAATGATCCTCCTTTATGAAATGAACTTTTTTGTGTATATTTTTTTTGTTCATTATACAAGCTTTGACTATTTTTTGATACTTTATGTGGTCGATGGACGATGATGGACAATCTATTAATCAAATCGTGGATCTGCCACTGGGCATAATGTTTAAGAAAGGATTTAAATAAAAATTATGTGACTACAAACAAGAAGAGAGAGTTAAAATGAGGTAAGTTCTAAACTATGATTATAGTTCATTTCTTAGCAAAACTTGAAATTTCAATTTGGATTTCTAAGTAAGTTGTTCTTCTATTTTTCAGTTTGAATTGCTCTCTAATTTCTCGTTTGATCTTAATTTTTCTGTTTTAGAATTTCAGCAAGAGATATTTGGTGCTAATGAAACCTTTGCAGTGCTTCACACGGGTAATTCATGATCCCCTTTTCATCTAATTAATTTCTTTCATTGTAATATTGTGACTTTATCTCGTACAAGCTATTTGTATTGTGAATTGGTTTTACTTTTAAATGATAAGAAAATTAAAATTTATTGAGTAAAAATACATGTTTCAGGAGAGGAAAATGCACTAATTGGAATCTCGTTACACTTGTGTGCTCCATGCAACACTCTTTTTGTCTAGGATAAGTCCTATAAACTGTCTAGGATAATAGAGGTGGTGAGTTTTATCTAAAGATGTTGGTAGTGCATCACGTACTCTTGGCAACTTCATTTTTATTTTAAGTTTATTCGAGTTGAGAAGTCTATATTTAATTATGTGCTTATGATGTGTGACCGAATGCTACAACAATTATTGTTAATATTCCATTTGAAATGCTGAAATTTTGAAATTGGTTATGTAAAACATACCCTTTTGTTCCCAATAATTTTGTGTTCCAATTTTGCTTTAGTTGTTTATTTTCTTTCCTTCTTTCTGCCCCCTCTCATGCTTTTCCTTTTTACTTGTAATGAGAAGGAAAGCTTAGTCCCTTATCACTTTGTCTCTTTTTCTCTAATTATGCATGCAAGTGAGTGGATTTTAATTTACATTGTATGTGGGAGTTGATAGGCTGACATTCATTTAGTTCATTTCTTCTTTTGTGGTTTCATTTCTAGCCACTCCTATAAGTTATTGGTATACTGTTTTTTTGGTGATAATTATATAAATGCATTTCGTCTATTTCTTCTCGATCAATTAAGTTTCTGATCGATTGAAGTTTTCCTATGGGAAAAAAAATAATTTACATAGCATAGGAGTGAGAAATTTAAGACATGTTGGATTAGACACTTGCTTTTTGTGTTGGTTTTTTCTTGTTATATGGTTGCCATTCTATTTTATTTTAATTTATTAAGTGTAGAAACAAGAACAATTGGTGTAATCAGCAAAATAAATCAAGCCACCTCAAAACCTAATGCATTTTTGCTGATATATATCGAAGCCTTATTGTTGTATCAGGGACCAAGAATCACAACTGATCGATGTTCCATGGGTTTCTTTAATTAATCTATCATTGTCAACAACTACCAAGCCTTTTACTACAGGATTCGAGTACTTTTAATGCTTAAGGAGTTCAAATGAGAGCCTCAAATTTATCTTATTTGGGTTGCGCAAGGCAATGGTAAAATAGCATAGTTCGAATATTTAGCTGCATAAATACACAACCGTATGAAACTTATGCTTCCAAGTTCTTTATGGCGCTGGTTGCTGCAGCTGCTAATGCACGCCGTTGTTGGTGTTGCTACTCATTGAATCTGCCGGTGTTGCCATAGATTCTTGCTGTGCTCATTGCTGGTCACTTGTTGTAATGTGTTGTAATTAATTATTTATTTTAACTTATTTGTAAAATGTCAGTGCTTTTACTAAGGTTTTGATGTAATAATACAGTCATTTATTATAAATTAAAATTTCAACGATATTTTTTTAAATATATGTACATACTAGTGTATGTATGTCAATTAATGTAAATAAAAATTGGCAAAAAAAAATGCAAAAAAAAAAGTGAAAAAAAAGCAATTTTTTTAGAGATATTTAGCAACACATTTTTATTATTACTAATAAATACAAGTGAAAAAAATTATTGCATATTATGACATAAGGTGATGGTTTTTAATTGTCACCTAAGGTCGCAACACTCTTCACTTGTTGCCTTTGTATTTTTGTTGCCTTAGGTTTCATTTTTCCTTGGGTTTTAAAAATGTTGCCTTTGAATAAAAATGTGTTGTCTTAAGAATAGACAACGGGGGCATAAGCTACGCCTTATATGTGTTGCCTTAGTTACAAGGAAACACTTTTTTTATAAAAGGCAATGATTTTCCACTGATACCTATGCTTTATTTTGTTGTAGTGTTAGAACTGGGGTCCTGGAAATTCTATTTTGATCCTACTGAAAATTTGTTGATTGAGGTAACTGAATTTGGTCTGATGAAGAAGTGAATTTATCTTGATGGCATCTACTGAAAATATAAAAATAAATAACCATAATTTGAGACATCAGCTTTGCACCACCAGACGACAGCTAACAACCAGCAGATAGCCAACAGGCTTTGCAAAACCAGGCCAGCAACCAAACAGCAGCATCACAGCAGGTGAAAGAGCAGGCAACGAAACCAACAGCCTGAACTAGACCTAAGCAGCCAGAAACAGAAAACAGTAGCCAGCAACAGCTTCTCCAAACCTTGATTCTGTATTTTTTTTTTCAGTTTTTTAAAGTGTAATATCACAAGTTATTAAAGAAAATATATGTGTTTTATGTATATTATGATTATATATAAGTATTTGGTACAATTTAAGTGAAAAAAATGCAAAAAAAAAAAAAAAAAAAAAAAAGTTTATTTTTTGGGCATTTTTGGCACCGGTTTTGGAAACAACCGGTGCTAAAAGTTTTTTTAAAAATAATTTTGGGGACTTTTGGCACCGGTTCTAAGTAAAAACCGGTGCAAAAAGTTGAGTTTTGCCACCGGTTCACCACTAAAACCGGTGCGAAAAGTGTTTTTTGCCACCGGTTTTGAACCGGTGCGAAAACTATGGGGTTTTAGCACCCCCCAAATACAACCCGGTTCAAAACCGGTGGGAAAGGGGGGCGGTTTGAACCGGTGGGGAATTGGTTTTTTCGCCTAGTGATACAATTTAAATTAATGCTTTCAATAAATAAGAACTTTAAGATGAGACTCATGAGAGATAACTATATGGGATAGCTCTTGCTGAACTATTACCTCGCTCCCAGCCTCGCTCAAGGGGTGCGCAGCCATTACAGGGATAACGTATGAAAGGGTTCACCAGCCAGGTAAGGTCGGCTTACAGGTTGACCAATACAGCTCCAACTGAAAGGAGTTCGTACATCTATAAACAGAGGATCAAGTACAACGTGAAGGAGGTTAGACACTTAAAGTTTATTACACTCTCTCTCTATCTAAGTACACTTTCTCTCTCTAAAACACTTACTAACTTAAGCTTCAAAGGGGGTTCCTCGAGCCACCCCCGAGGGCAGTAACGTTTGCCACCTGTGCAGGTTACCTAGCTAGACCTAGCTTGACCCAATCCGAACCACCAGTACCACAGCTAGAACAATAACGTTTTAGCTTTTAAAATATTGGGGATTCCAACGTGTGCGATGCGCGCGGTAGGGTTAGCCCTTTGAAAATAATTATTACCGATGACATCTATTCCCTATGTCTGTTTGCGTAATATTTTATTAAAACTATTTGCATATAGACAATAATTGTCTTGGATGTTAATTGTGTAGTTGTACAATGCTCAAAACTTTAGTTTAGATACTTTAATTTGATTTAGTAACTGAACGGTAAAAAGATATTGAATTCGATCTAGAAATATAAATGTCTAATAAATTCTAAATAGGAAAATTAAAACAAAAGAAAATGGAGAGAGTAAAAGATGGCTCTAAATATGAAAATAAACATAATTATGTAAATCAATTTAGGGAAGTATTCAAGAAAACAAATTTAAAGCTTTTGAAATTAAGAGGGGCAAATATGTAAAAGAACATTTTTAGGGATATAAACATTCATGCACTATTTATAAGAGTTTTGTTAAACTCACACCTCAACATGATTCATGGCCTTTTCAATTTTCATTTTAAATGGTCATCATAACTATTAAATAAAAAATCATTTTAGTTTTGGTAATACTCCGTAACAAATATGAAACTGATTATTAATTGGCTCTAAAATCACAATCAAATCACATACTAATTGTAATTCAAGTACATCGTAATTATTCATTTATGTTATGGGTCAGTCCAATAAAATTAAACTCACATCTTATAAAAGTTGTGGGGTATCGTCATATCGATCATCCAAATCACTAATTAGAGGTTAATGTGACTCTTTACAAACTATTATTAATGTATTATAATGAGTTGCAATAAAATTGAAATTATTGTGATTTTATCTTCAACCTCATACTTTATTACATTAGAATCATTAGATGATCAGGGCATCCAGGCTAACAACTAGTTGTACATCCAATTGTGCTTACATGCATTCACATCTTACACCAAGTAGCTTAGGTGATCTATAAGTTCTCTACCTTTGCTAAGGATAATTATAGCCTAGACTTTTCTATATTTGCATACTACTAGATTTTTCACAGGTAGTTCACATTTTACAACACATTTGATCTAGATTTTTCTGTACATTTCCATTTCTTTGGTGTCAATTGCTCTACATAATCAATTATCTTCGACGGCAAAGCCAAGTCATTTAGAAATCTTTCAGTAATATAGATGATGTGTCTATCATTTGGGTATATTAATCATTCCCCCTTTTCTCAAAGTTCTAGGTCACAATAATCAATGGCAACCTACTCTTATGCTCAACCCAAATCAGTCCACGAATTTGCTGTCAAAGTTAGTTTTGATTTTGATTTTTTTTTTTTAATTATTCTTGTTTTTTCAACTTTAATTGTAATTTAGTTTATTAAATTCTCAAAAACTTCCAATTTTGTTGTGATTATTAATTGTTGATTTTTTTTCTTTTTTTTTTTTTAAATGTTGATTTTCTGTTTTGAATTTCATGTTTATTGGATTGATACTATATGTAGTCTCTTACGAAGTATATGTTTTGGATTTCAATGTCTGTTTGCTATGCTACTTAGAAAAAACTGTAGGAAGACGTTGTTAATTAAGAGTCGCGGCTGTTGTTGGTTTGTTTACTTTGTTACATTGCACTATTGTCAAAAAAAAAAACTTTGTTACATTGCAGAATGCATAGTGGTTTCTTTTTCTATTTGATTTTCCATCCTTTGTTTTAACGGAAATGAATGCAATTTGCTATAATGCCTAAGAAGTTTCGGACTTCCTAGTTTGACATATTAATCGTATTAATTGTTAATACGCAGGATGCAAGTGGAAAAAATGTTAATCTTAGCATTTACAAAGGGAAGGTGTTGTTAATTATCAACGTTGCATCACTATGGTATGTATGATATGCGTGAACTGTCATTTTAAGACGTTTCTTTTGTTGGCGCGACCATTTGTGCATAACTCAGCTGACTCCATTTCTATTTTTGGTGCAGTGGTCTTACCAAAAAAAAACTACACAAAGTTGACACAATTGTATGATAAGTACAAGGACCTAGGTAGCTTCTTGTTCTTCCTTTTGTTTTTGTTCGCGCTGTTATATGGAAGGTTAGACGACTTATACTGAGTTGCTGAGTTGCTGCAGGTTTGGAGATCTTGGCATTTCCAAGTAACCAGTTTAAGCAAGAGCCAGGAACTAATGAGGAGATCGTGGAGTTTGCGTGCACGAATTTCAAAGCTGAATACCCCATTTTTGACAAGGTGTTTTCTTAAATCATTTACAAACTACCATAATACTCCATTTGTTCAATTGTTAGTAACTTGATTAATGCCCTTCCCTTACAAATGAGCAGATTTGTAGAAACAGTAAATCTCTGTTACTCACTGTGAGAAACGTTTTTGTTTCTCACAGTGGCAATTTCGTAAATAAAATGTACCACCGTGACTAAAGATGGTACAATTTTATCATCCATTTCATAAATAAAATGTATCACCATGATTAAAGTGGTACATTTTATTTACGAAACTACCACTATGAGAAACAAAAACGTTTCTCACAGTGAGTAATGGGAGGGCCCTCTTTGTAGAAATACCTTGTTCAAATAGAAAAAGAAATAAATACTCATGAATAATGGAACTAAAATCCCAAAAACAATTAGAATAGAAAAGCCCCAAATTTTACATTTTAATAAATCAAAGAACATTTCAATATTTCAATTTACAGTAAATTAATTAATCAAACAAATTAATACAAGAAAAATAAACAGATTCCATACTTAATTAACAAAAGAAAATTAAGCAAAGAAACCAAGAAGATTAAAAAAAATTAAGCAAATTAACTAGAAGAAATTGTTTTCAATTACTCAATTTACTCATAGATCTGAAATTAATTTGGAATGAAAATTGAGGAGTGAGAGGAGAATTTACATCAACACTGACCATGGGCCACGGCAGTACGACACTCAACGAGGACAGTGGTCACTACTAGAAAGTAGCTTGATTCCGACGGAAAAAATCCGCCGGAAACAGTTGAAATTCCGTCTGTTTGTTTCCGGTGTTCTGTGTTTGTCAGACGTTGATCAGCTGGTTGGTTTTTTGGTTAATGGTTGGGTTTTTGCAAGGGTTTCTGAGGCTGAAATTCTTTGTAAATGAGTGGTTGCTTGATTTTCTTTGCAATTCGCATAGCCATTGATTAGCACTAGAATCCTTGCCGCTCTGAGGCAATTCAATCCTCTATTGGTATCACTTTTGATAAATGTACCAACTATGTTTCCTATTTTAGAAAGAATGGAAATAAAGTGAAACTCCGACGGAAGTTCAGGGAGTTTAATCCAGACTGGCCTGGCGACTGGTGTGGCGGAGGGTTTGA